CTGGGCTCAGGCGATCCTTCTGCCTCAGCCTTCCAAGAAGCTGGAACTACAGGCACGTGCCATCACGCTCGGCAATTTTTTGATTTTTTGTAGACACAAGGTCTTGCCAAGTTGCCCAGGCTGGTCTCGAACCTGTGGGCCCAGGCAGTTCTCTCACCTAGGCCTTCCAAAGTGCTGGGATTATAGGCATGAGCTATCACACCCGGCCTAGGTGTGTTTTTCATATAATGACTTTTGTTTCTTTGAGTAAATATCTAGTAATGGGATTGCTGGATCGAATGGTAGGCCTATTTTTATTTATTTATTTATTTTGAGTTGGAGTCTCACTCTGTTGCCCAGACTGGAGTGCAGTGGCCGCTCCCGGCCACTGCAACCTTGACCTGCTGGGCTCCAGCGATCCTTCCGCCTCAGCCTTCCCAGTAGCCGGAATTACAGGCATGTGCTACCACGCCCAGCTGATATTTTGATTTTATTGTAGAGATGAGGTCTCGCCTGCCCAGGTGGGTCTCGAACCCACGGGCTCAGGCAATCCACTCACCAGCCTCCCAAAGGCGTGGGATTACAGGCTGAGCCACCGAGCCCGACTGGTAGGCCTATTTTTAGTTCTTTGAGAAATCTCCATGATTTCCATAAAGGTACTAATTTGCACTCCCACCAACAGTGTATAAATCTTCCCTTTTCACTTTTTTTTTTGACTTTTCATTAATGGCCATCGTGACTGGTGTAACGTGGTACCTCATTGTGGTTTTAATTTGCACTTCCCTGATGATTGGTGATGTTGAACATTTTGGGAAATAATTATACTCACACTGGCAGCGTCTGAGACTTAACATTTGATAGTATTCGGTGAATTATTTTACACATCAGGTACTAGACTCATTGTTGAAAGGCCAATCAGGCCAGCTTTTTGTTTTTAATTTGTGCCTTAGCATGCTGACATTTTGAGGTTGTGAATTAAATGATACAAAGTCTCTTCTAAAATCTTTTCCATCTGGAATCTGAACGTGGCAAAAATACAGGGGGTACCCTCTCTCCCCTCAAAAAAGTTCTGTAAGCAAAGTTTATTCCACACAGGTTATATTCTTTATATGTTGGAATGTCTCTCAAGTTAGATTTATTTAGATTTATTGTAATACTTATTATAATACTCTTGTAATACTCTTATCTGGTTACCAAGGTCACAACAATTGAGGAACAGAAAACCAAAGCAAGGTGAGAGACTCCTGCAGACAAGTGTAGTAGTTAGGAAAACCTCAATTACTGTAACAAAAATATGTCCAATATTCAGGGGCCTCAAGAATAGAGAAATTTATCACATGATGGTGACAGCAAAGCGTTCCAGATCTTGTGGAAAGCTTTGTTCTACTTAGCATTAGCTATAATTCTGTTACTACGAGACAAGAAATGGGAAAATTTAAATCTCCATCTCAACAAATCACCTTGTAGAAATGACTGAGGGTAGAAAGAAGCAGGACTTTTGGAAACAAAACGTTGAAGTCATCCAGTGAAGGGGCCAGCCATCACTCTCAGGTCTGTGATTTGATTTTACCCTGCCTACAAGCTCTGATGCTACCTTTGACTGATCATGGATTCGAGCAGGAAACACAGCACTCCTTAGGCCAGAGAAGATGGCTGTCTTATTCGGGGCACAGTGGGCATCTTATTTGCCGTGGGGTGACAGGACACCACGGACTCGCATCATAGCTGCAGAACAATAAGCCTGGGCAATCCTTTCTTTTGTTGCAATTCGTTCGCAAACCAGCTCTGTGTCCTCTAGGGAGAACGTCACCTCATCCCTCAGGGTTGCTCACTACAAACACAGCCCTGAAAAACGGGCCCATTCCCAAGGGTCAGGGCCTTGCGTCCTTGACATACCCAGCAAAAGATGTGAGAGCATCAGAGTCCCATGGAGGGCTGTTCTTTTCAACGCCCACCACTCGGTAGCCAACTGAAGACATTCCATGTACGGCAAGATTAGCAAAGTAGTGTTCCAAGGACGTGAGAATTAAATTCAGCCTATAAGGGGGGACCCCAAAAAACTGGAATTTATTTATGAAAAATTACATATTCTTACATGTTTAAACTTCAGTCACTTGCAAAGCACTCTCTGTTTGTTGCAGTACACCCATCGAGATGCTTTTTTTTGAACTTGTCAATTTTGGTACCTTATAGAGCTTCTGCCATTTCTTGTTTCACCTCTTCCACATCAGCAAAATATTTCCCTTTGAGGCCTTTTCTCATCTGGGGAAACGAAAAAAAAAAAAAAAAGTTGCTCAGAGTGAGATCAGGTAAATAGGGAGGGTGGGGCATGGGGTCATGCCATTTTTGGTCAAAAACTGGGGCTCATGTCATTTTTGGTCAAAAACCGCTGAACACTCGGTGTGGTGTGGTCAGGTGTGTCGTGATGGTGGAAGAACCAGTCACCTGTTTGCCACAACTTGGGATGTTTCTTCGACAAGCTGTGATGCAACCTTCTCAAAACTTCCAGGTAAAAACTTTGGTTGACCATTTGATCGGAGGAACAAATTTGTAGTGTGTGACAAGGGGCCTGCCCGCCAAAAGATAATTCCAGTTTTGGGGGGGGGTTCTCATAGATGAGTAGATTAGACCTACTGCTGTTCATTGAAACCTGATTTATAAGCCAGGCTCGGTGGCTCAGCCTGTCATCCTGCGCCTTTGGGAGGCTGAGGTGAGTGGATTGCCCAAGCCCGCGGGTTTGAGACCCGCCTGGGCAACTTGGCGAGACCTCATCTCGACAATAAATCAAAATGAGCCGGGCGTGGTAGTGCGTGCCTGTAATTCCGGCTACTTGGAAGGCCGAGACGGAAGGATCGCCGGAGCCCAGCAGGTCGAGGCTGCGGTGGCCGGGAGCGGCCCCTGCACTCCAGTCTGGGCGACGGAGTGGGACTCCAACTCAAAAAAGGAAGAAAGAAAGAAAACTGATGTATAGCATTCTGTATTCTCACGACCTGCTCTTGATCAAAGTGTGAGCAAAGGGCCGTTCCTCCAACGTATCACGTTGTGTGTTAAACTAGACGTTAATGTAGCTCAAGGGCCCTCTCTCTTGGGGTAAAAGACTCTTGAAGTGGGTTGTTTCTGTGGATACATATTTTGGTGATACTTGCTTGAATCCAGCCACACTGGCTATGACCAGCTTCAGCAGGCAGGAGGCTTAATGAGGATGGGGCAAGCGTGGGAACCACGTGAGTTAGGCACGCCTCTCATCACCCTCCTCCTGGCCCCTCTGTCTTGACCGCGACTTCCTCTCTCTGGCGTTTGGGGGAGGAAGGTCTGGGAACTGTGGAGAGCAAGGAAGTGAGTATGGCACCTCTGTGTTCCGCTGAGACTTTGGACAACTTAGTTAATCTCGTGTCATATTCAGATCATAAAGATTTTCTGGAACCAAGCGAGATATAAATGTGAAAGTCTTTACTAAACTATGAAGTATTATACAGGTATTTAATTACGACTTAAGCTTTTCTCTATTAAAGAAGACTGATGGAGAGGGTGCGGTGAAAAGGAACACTTCTACCCTGTTGGTGGGAGTGTAAACTAGTACAGCCGCTTTGGAAAACAGTGTGGCAATTCCTAAAAGATCTAAAAATCGACTCCCATACAACCCTGCAGTCCCCCTACTGGGAATATACCTGTAGGAACTGAAATCACCCTATGAAAAAGATAACCTGCACACACGTGTTTATTGCAGCATTATTTAAAATAGCAAAAACATGGAACCAAACATGCTGTCCATTGAAAGAGGACTGAATAAAATAAAAATGTGGTACATATACACGATGGAATATTATGCAGCCATAAAGAAGGATAAAATTATGTACTTCACAGCAACATGGATGGACTTAGAGTCTATAATACTGAGTGATCTATCACAGGATCAAAGAACTGAGTATCACGCATTCTCACTCATAGGCAGACCTTGAATGATTGTCATAATACTAAAAGGAATTGGCAGCAGTGGGAAACTGCCAGGGAAGGGGAGGCACACCTCATCGACAAGGGTACCTGCATAATGAACATTTGTATACTTAACCCTGAATTGTACCCCACATTTTAAAAATTAAAAATTAAAAAAAAAAGAAGACTGAAGTGTATGTTCTCTCTCAATTCTGAGGTCGTAACATAGTAACACAGCTCCTGATCTGTACAGTTTTGACCATATTCTACCTGCTTTTAAAGAGTTAATACAAAAGACAACTTTGCAAAAAAGGTACAGTGTCAATCACTTGGAAGATACATTTATATAGCTGGGAACATTCAAAATTCTTTATTTAGTACTAAGTCTGGAATGGTGGATTCAGTAAAGTTCTCTTTGCATTTTTGTTATTTTTTAACGTGAACAACAATGTGTTACTATTGGAAAATGTAGGAATGGATGGTTGAAGAGGAAAGTGTTTGACTTTATATGGTAAAGAACACTTGGAATAGGATAAAAAAAGTTGGGAAAGGATGGAAAGTATGTGTGTATGTGTGTGTCTACACGCACATATACAAGTGTTAATCCAACCCATTTTTCTCTTTAAGGGGCCTTTCTCCTCCCTGAAAACTTTACCGCCCATTGCCATGGGAAGGAACAGCATGAGATGGCGATATGCCTCACTTTTCCCTTTGTGTAGTGGAGTGGGATTATTTCCTTCTGTTGATTGGTTTGTTGACAACAGCTTCCAGATTATATTTTCGTATTTTTAGTATCTACTGTACGTTAACCACGCTAATGGCTGGTTCGTAATGAGGGAAATTGCCAAAGGACCCTAAGGTGTCCAACCTGGAAGTGACTTTTGGAATCATTTAGTACTAGTGGACAAGGAAAGCAGTGACCACAGAATCGAAATGCGTGTGTTCCTGAAGGTCACACATCTGGTTGGTGGTCTTGAATCTTAAGATCATCCCTCCTTTCCTACTTGGAACAGTGCTCATGAACTGTGATGCCTTGTCTTATAGTTCTGGAAGTATTTTAATGCTGTATCATCTCCTTCTCTTTTTAGGTAGTTATTACCAGTAAAAGTGGAGAGATCTTGTATCGTATTTCCCCGTGGGCAAAGTATGTGGCGCGAGAAGGTGATAATGTGAATTATGATTGGATACACTGGGACCCAGCACACGTGTACAAAGTGAGAACAACAGATCTGTCAATTGATACTTATTCCTGTATTGCTAGGAAAGTTAACTTGTAATTTTATAACCTTGATCGTGATGCTCAGTGCCTCTCTTCACTGGTAGTTTGGTATTTTACATCATAGCGTTTCTCTTATATGATGCATATATCAGAGTCCATCTTCTCTAGCCAATAAAATATAGAAGTAAGTTTTTAAATTTATCTTATGTGTTTGAGGTTAAGAGAAAAATACTATATCCTGATATGCTGATCTGTAAGGGATGCTAATTTTTTAAAACTACAATTCCTGATTTATCAGACTCTTCAGTGACGTAATTTTGCTCACTGTCATGGGTTTGAAGGGATTTGGGGTCTGTAGGAACAAGAAATTAGGGAGACCATCTCAGGAATGTATTGATTAGGGTCATTTTTACTGATGCCTTATTGACTCGTGAAATATGTGTCTTTGGACTCACTTTTCTGACCTTCAAGTTTTTGGAATTTGTTGATAAATGCTTTCATTTGAAACTTATATATGCATTTCATAGCTTTTATATTTTATCTCAGGGTTAGGCTCAAAACCTGTCTTGACTCAGTCATAAGGCATAAGCCACTACTTGACTCCTTCTTCAAAATAGGTCCATTCTCAAGATCATGAAAAGGATTCTTTTTTTCCAAATGAAAATTGAGTGAATGTAGCCAGTACCTCTTATATGTGAGAACAGTTTCAAGGGTTTACAGTTTATTCACCAGTTCATTGAACATATCGATCAGTTAGTGTCATGCCTGAATTCCTGGTGTAATTCTGTATGTATTTTTATATTCTATAGTTTAAGCATTCCAGACCAAAGAAGCCAAGAAGTCTAAGAATTTATGAATCTCATGTGGGCATTTCTTCCCATGAAGGAAAAGTAGCTTCTTATAAACATTTTACATGCAATGTACTACCAAGAATCAAAGACCTTGGTAAGTAATAACTGTGATTTTATTCAGATAAAATTTTAATGAGTCTGTTCTCTTATTAGAAAAGCTAATTACAAGTGTCTCTTTTTTGTGGTAAGAGATTAAATATGTAATAGAAATGCATTTTATTTTAGGCTTCTCAAATTGCCCTGTAATCGTGATAGCATAGAAGAGAGAAATGGAGTAAGATAGCGCATGAGAGTTGAAGATATTATTCCAATTTCAATTTTAAGTAATGTGAACTGATGACTTCCCAAATTGTAGATAAATATGTAAGCATAATTACTTTACAACAGGAGAAAACCTTTATCAATTTAAGTAGTCAATGATTATAGCCTGTTCATTTTGGTCTGTTAGGGAAAAAAAACCTGATATTTGTAAGGTGCCCAGGAGTCATTTGGTATCAGAGTCATTGTTTATAGCCCCTGTTGGATGAATTACATAACAGACGTTGCTGGAATGTCTCCTGGGTGAGATGCACCGTGTTAGAGCCTGTGATGACACAGACCCTGTCTTCAAGGGGACAGCCAGAAGTGTTAGTAGTTTATGCGGAATTATGGATATACTTGAGGAAGAAAAATCTGATTTTCTTAACTTTTTAAGACCAAATGTTTCTTTTCCTCTGATTATTTGCTTATATTAAAAATACATTAGTTAATGCTTTTAGATGTTATGGATTTATAAATGTAATACCTACCTTTTTGAGTCACTTATTTACTGTTAGAGCAAAAAATATTCAGATGGAGAAAGAGAGGTGTGTGTGTGAATGTGTTTGTGTACATGCATTGTGTACACATGCATGCATATATGTGTTTGTGTACATGCATTGTGTACACATGCATGCATATATGCAACTTTGGAATAATTTTAGGAGTGCAAAAAATACTGGAAATTAGGGAAATTAGAAGCATGAATGCTGACTGCATAAAAGCTACCTTGTGGGACAAGTGAATCTGGTAACATTTTTTATACTATATGGCAAAAATTATTGAAACACATAGAAAAAAGGCAAAATATAATGTATATGTCAAAATCAGTTACTTTTATTTAGTTTTCATAATCTTCAAGATGAATATTACAAGAGAACTGAAGTTTAGCATATGTAGATTATCATCTTTAATATTCTAAAACCAAATTAAGAGTAAATTTGCATATCATATATTACTTGTTAAAATGAAGACATTTCAAACAACCAATCAGAGTATAACTCTATGAAACTGTCGGATTTTGTGTTAGAAGGTCAGACAAGCAAGAAATGTTAAAGTAATAGAACTTTTCAAGATGACCCAAGCTTCTAGATTGTACGTAAAATGTCTTTAGAACAAGATGCTTTTCCTTTCTTCATTTTTTTTTTTAGGTGTGGTTGTTGAGTTCTAATTGTGTTTTGCTTTTGTAGGCTACAACTGCATTCAGTTGATGGCGATTATGGAGCATGCTTACTATGCCAGTTTTGGTTACCAGATCACCAGCTTCTTTGCAGCTTCAAGGTAAAATGAGAGACGCATCCCATCTGTTTTACTTTAAGCAAAAAAAATTTTTTAAGTAAATTTTTACATTTTATATAATGTCTTGTAACCTTTGTAGGGTTACCAGCATTAATAGAAACTGAACATTTTCTTTTGCTAAGGTCATAGGCTCGCCTCCTACTAGCCTTATAGGCTGACCCTGATATAACGTTGCTTTAATGGAATGATTTTGGATCTAGAACACCCAGTTTCCTGCTGAAATTTTCACATGCTTGGTGTCCCAAGCTTTGGTCAGAAAATCAGTCCTATGGAAGCCATTATGGTAACAGGTTCCATCCTTTTCTGGAAAGGGATTGACTTGTATAGGAAGGTGCCGGAGGAGACCCTAGGTAGGACATACACTGCCCACAGAAGAACTCCCTAAGGAATATGGCTCTCTGTGCAGAAAGCACCAAGGGTCCTCTGCAGTTGACGAAGCATTAACCTGAATGACCACAGATCGAAACAGCCCCGTATTGCCTCGGCATCGTGGAGTTTGTGGTGTGGTGGCATATAGACATGAATCCACTCGTCACATACATCTTGCTTTCTCCCTGTAGTAAAAAGGCAGAAAATGACAGGCCACTGTGAGAGCATAGAGTCGGTTTAGAATGGAATAGCTATGAACTTAGGTTGGAACCAAGATGCAAAACCTAAGAGTTAGCTGGACATCGCCAGGTGTGGGCTTATGCCTGTAATGCCAGTGCTTTGAGAGACAAGGGCCGGAGATCGCTTGAGGTCAGGAGTGCAAGGCCAACCTGGGCAACATAGGGAAACCCCCACCTCTATGGAAAAAAGAAAAGAACAAGATTTAACTGCAGGCTGGGTGAAGTATCCCTAGACAGATAACTTTCCAGGCACAGAAAAAAGGTACCAATCCTCTTACCTGTCTCTCTCTGTCGTCATTCTCCATGAATGAGCCATCTGCACTTACTGCCTCTAAACCCTCTACTCCTGCTCTCTCTTGAACTCGTTTTAAGGAGGCTGTCAGCATCTTCACTGAACCTGCCTTTGTCAAGGGTATAATGACCTTCACATTGTTGAGTACCAGGGTCAGTTCTTGGCTTGAACTGTCAGCTCCATTGGGCACCAGGGCTTACTTTCACCTTCTTGGAACTTTTTTCCCCCTTGACTTCCAGAATATTCGAACCTTCTGTTGTTGTTTGTCCCAATTCACTTGTTGCTTCTTTATTTCCCGTGCTCTTTCCTCCTCGTCTTTAGGACCATTAAATCTAGAATCTCCCAGTGTCCTGCTTGGTTCTATTCTCTTCTCTCTGCATCTGAAGCGTCTTGGAGGGCTCTCAAGTCTCATCCTCTTACGACTTGCATATGTGCCTGCATGTCAACTCCCACACGAAGTCTCCCATCCTGACCTCTCTGGTGAACTTCAAACAGTGTGAATTTGACACTGGGCTGCCTGCTACGTGTCTCGGACTCCATGAGCCTGAAATTAGCCTCCTAATCTTTACTTCTAACCTCCTCCTCCACCTCTTCCCGAATTCAATAAATGAAATTCCATCTTCCAGTTGTCCAAGCCCCAAATTGTGGCATTCTGTGTGACTCTTTCCACTCTGTCCTCCCTGCCCTCTAGCTCATATGACACCTGGTCATCTGTAACTTCGAAACGTATCCCACCTTGGGCTGCTTCAACTGCCATCTCTGCTACTGCCCTCCTCCAAGTTGCTGTTAACTTTCCCTCGGTTATTTCAATAACTCGCTACCTGATCACTGTTTCCTCTAGTTCTCCTTCCCCTTCCCTAACCTCTCCCCCTGTTCACGTGCACAGTGGCCACAGTCGTCATTTAAAAGTGAAAGTCAGACCCTCTGATAACTTTCTGTCCCCTTCAGAGTAAAAGCCTCAGGCCGTACATTGGTCCTCAGGCCCCGTTTGATATGCCTCGGCTGACTCTTGGGGCCTGTCTCTCCCAGACCATTCCGGCTACAGTCGCTTCTTTGCTTTTCTTCAGATGCTCCTGGCTCTTTTCTGTCCCGGTGTCCTGCGCCTGACACCCCTTTCTCTCTGAACACCCTCACCCTAGATGTCCTCATGCCTTGCTTCCTCTCTCATGCTCAACTACGGCCTTCTGTGTGAAACTTGCACCGATGACCCTATTGGAAACAGCAAACCTGCCTTTCCCATCAGGGACCTTTCCTCATTGTTTTCTTTAAAGCACTTATTGCTATCTGGCATACCCTGCGTTTTGCTTGTTAATTTGCTGTCTCCCAACGAGAATGTAAATTCTGTGAAGTCATTGATGTGTATCTCGCCACTGGTCGTTTCCAGTGCATGGAAACTTTCGTGGCGTGTGGTAGATAATCTAATAAGTATTTGATGAACACATGAATAAATGGATGAGTTAATGAATGAACAAAGGAAACTGTAGGACTGTTCATTTATTGAGTATGCTGTTCAATGAGTGTGAAGAAGACCAGGTGGTTGGCTTAAGAAGAGGATGGGGTAGAAAGTCATCAGATAATCGATATTACCAGAAGGAGCCAATTAAATGGTGCAGTGTAGGCCGGGGCGAGGACACTGGTCTTCACCCTGGACCCCGGGAGTGCAAGTCTGTTTTTAAGTAGATAACATGATCTTATTTTCAGTTTTAACAGCTATTGCTGCTTAGTGGAGTTGGCTGTCAGGAGACTTGCTACTTAGTAAACGCTGGACTGTATTGAGAGAAACCAGATGGTCGCAGTTCCGGCCCCAAAGGGGCTAGTACGGAAGAGACAGTAAACACTTAATGACGAGGGTGATAATTCATTTAAAGTAAAAAATCAGTGCTGTGGAAAACCGTAAGGTCAAAATTTTGCATAGGTTGAGAAAGACCTTCCTCTGGGAGTGGTTTTTGTTTTCTATTTCATGCAAACTAGGAGACTTCCTTTAACACACGCACGCACACACACACACACACACACACACATATGCATGTGGGCTGCCCATCTTTCTGCTTGTGTGGTGATGGATAGGGCACATTCTGCTGATCCACTGGTACCTGATTGCTTTCCAGTTTGGCAATAAGTACAGGAGGGGTGGCCTCAGCCTCAGTCAAGGTACCAGGGACTTCTAAAAAAATACTCACAGGGCTTCTCACCCCCAAAGGTACACACTCAGAGGGTGGGCAGATATGAGGCAGGAATGATCGTGACCCACGAGGCTGGGAGATGGAGGTTGGAGGCTCTGAGACAGAGAAGCAGAGTTTTACTATTTAGATGCTCAAAAGGTGAATTTTGGTTGGGATCCAAGTCTACATGTACTAGCCTGATTTAAATGATGGTATATTTATTTGATAGCTTTAGATTTGCCTGATAACACATCATGAGGAACTTTACCTCGTATCCGAGGATCACAGCACACTGCAGGCCCATGTTTAAAGTTCCTAGTCCTGTGCTGGTAAAACAACGGATGCACGATTGGCTGTTGGCTTTACATGAGACGCCATCTTAACCTGTGGTGTTCTTCACCTGTAGCCGTTACGGGACGCCTGAAGAGCTGAAGGAGCTGGTGGACACAGCTCATTCGATGGGCATCATGGTCCTCTTAGACGTGGTGCACAGCCATGCTTCCAAAAACTCAGAAGACGGGCTGAATATGTTTGATGGGACAGATTCCTGTTACTTCCATTCCGGACCAAGAGGGACTCATGACCTTTGGGACAGCAGACTGTTTGCCTACTCCAGGTAGGTGTATGTCGCGTGGAAATGTCTTCTTTGTTTAAAATGAATTTCAGAGCATTTCACTGAAGGCATTGTATGTGTGCTCACTCACTGGCACTTCATGTTCTTAACTTGAATTTTGAAAGTCGTAGGAGGAATTTTACCTTGTTTTGTGTGGCGTATGTATTCATGGTGTGTCGTATTACATTTCCGTTTTACATATCTCAAGACATATATTGATTTTATTGTCATTTAAAAGTTGTAATGTGAATCATTTTTTAAAAATATCTAAAAGACCACATTATTAGGTTGTCTTAACCCTAGACAATCTCCTTTTAATTGAGAAATACATTGTTTTTTTTTTTTGAGTTGGAGTCTCACTCTGTCACCCAGACTGGAGTGTAGTGGCTACTCCCAGCCACTGCAGCCTCGACCCACTGGGCTCCGGCGATTCTTCCGCCTCAGCCTTCCGAGTAGCCAGAATTACAGGCATGCGCTACCACGCCCGGCTGATTTTTTGATTGATTGTAGAGATGAGGTCTCGCCAAGTTGCCCAGGCGGGTCTCGAACCCGTGGGCTCAGGCAGTCCACTCACCTCAGCCTCCCAAAGCGCGGGATTACAGGCTGAGCCACTGAGCCCGGCTGAGAAATACGTTGTTTTAAGTAGGCTATTTAAAAAAATTATACCTCCTTGTTTCATATCTTAATGATATTACTCTGGTTTTGATTGCAGCTAAATTAATTTATAATTATGAAGCATCTAATATTTACTAGTATATGACATGTGTCAGGTATGATGCAAAATGTTTTAGATACATTAGCTACCTATCTTATCTTGTTTAATCTGCGCAGCCCCTCTACACATGGTAAGTACTAATATTAAGGCCATCTTACAAATAAGTAAACTAAGACTTGGTGTTGAAACAGTTTGTTAATATTAAACGCATCTCTGACTTCATATACCATCTAAGTAGAAGGCTGTTTTAGGTGATTAAATCTAAGTAGCACAATATGGTAAAAATTAGATAGAAAAACCCCAAATATCATTACCTTTGTATTTGTTATTTATCATAAATACAATATGAAAAATTTATGAAAAAAATGAAACTGTGATGCCAGGCCCATTAAAAGTAGCAACGTACTAAGTAATGTATAATTATTTGTTATGTTATATATTTTTGAAAAAGTTTAATGAATTTTCTTTTGGATATTCCATCATACAGAAACGTACATATACCTGGAAAGCAGGTAGTATGGAAAAACACTTCAGCAAATACACTTATAGAATCAAGAATTCTCATTTCTCAACATAAATTAGAGGGCTTATATGTGGAGGAAGTAATTTGGCTTCACTTTTTCTTTGATATCATACATTATTTTGAAATCAAGGCCATAGGAATGATTTTTGATATCATGGCCATAGGAATCACTCATGCCAGCTGAGGCCGCGTGGTAGATGCAAAGGAACACCTGCTGGCAGGGTTCCAACCCTACTTCACTCTGGAATAAACTGGTTAATCATTCTCATTCTCAGGTTTTTATTATCAAAGGAGGCAGCTTAGGGGTGAATATAATTTCATCTGTGAAGGTAGTCTGTACTTTTGTTTCCTTTCTGAACGTTGCTTGTATGCTATAGACTTATTGCAAATAAAAAGGACTGAACCTGTATTAATTCTGGGATATAACCCTGCTAGTTGGGTTATTGAATAAATCCTAAAGAAGTAGAATTGCAGTTAATTGAACTCTGGCTCATGTTGGATAACTGAGGGTTGATGCTTTTCTGTAGAACTGTCCCTTATGAAAGAAATATATTAAACAGCTATTTAATATATTAAAGTCTATTTACATATAAAATATATTAAAATTTAAAAATGAATTTTATATTTTAAAACAATGTTTCTGTAGAGCCATACCTTAAAAATAAATACATTAAGTGGGTGGATTTTATGTTATAAAACAATTCTTTATTTTATTAAAATGTTTAACCATCGTGTATTTTTTTGTACCATGAGTTCTCAAAGTACATTTGTACTTAGTCACTTTTCTAAAGAAAGGGGATTATACATAATTGTTTTCAAAATCATTTTTGTTCCAGAAATTGAGACAAACTTAATATCATTATTGAATTCTTAGTTTCTTTTTTATTGACGTAGCTATTAATCTTTCTTTCTCAAGTACACACTTTTGGTGAATAATAATGTCTAGTATGGTATTAGCTTAATATTATTATTTTTAAGATTATTGCCTTTTTTGGTTTTGTTTTGCAATGCCAAACAGGGTTAGTCCTTTGTAAATATTATTTTACTAAAATATATTTCCATTCTGCGTGTTGTTCTATTTGACAACATCTAATTTTCCAGTTTTATAGAAATAGTATTTTAGATATAGGTTTATAATATTTGTTATGGCATCATTAAGCAATATAGATAACATCCTACCAAGCTGGTCTATGTGACCATATTTAAACAAATACTTCTTTGGTAATTAGGTTTTTCCAACATATGAAATACTAAAGGTTCTAGAACTCTCTGAATTATTGTCTCAGTACTTACATGTAATTGATGAGAAACTTTATTGATGAAGTGTATTACCTTGATGAAGCTTACCAGAATTTTTCTTTTACATTTACCTCCTTGTGTTCTTATTTCTTACTGTGTCTATAATTTGACATTGCTTTAGTGTCACACTGAAGCGATTTTTATACTCTTAGCATTCATGATTTAAGTCCTACTTTGCTTTTTTGGTTATTTATTGCAGCTTAACAAACCAACCCGAAATTTAGAAACTAAAGACAACAGCAATTTAATTTTGTTTTCAGATTTGCGATTTCGGTGTGCGTCAGCAGGGATAGCTCTTCTTTTCTTTGTGTTGTGTCAACTGGGCCGGCTCATTTGGGGGTAGAGTGTCCGCTGTCAGGATGATCCACTCACGTGTCAGTGGTCACGTGAAGCCCGCAGAGGCCGTGGGTAGAAGGGACTCTGTTCCTCTCTTTGGAGCCACTCCTCTGGTGACATGGACTTGCTCACAAGAGTGAGAGGGCGTGCAGGCTGCCAATTCATATGGTTTGGGTTTGGAACCAGGCAGAGTGTCACTTCTGTAAACCGTTGGTCAAGCAGTCACAGATTTCACAGGACAAGGGACATGGACCCCACCTTTCAAATGGAGGAACATGAAATTATTTTAAGGCTTTGTTTAAATTTCTATATCTAACAAGCTTTGACCACACATTGAATGTACTACTTCATAAATTCAAGAAAGATGTATTAAAATACCTGCCCACATGGAAATATTATTTATCTCAGCCTTGTTACCGTTTTAGAGAATTATGCATGAAATAGGCAGTAAAAAAATTATACAGTTTTTATAATGCCATTGTAGATAATCAGGATACATAAAAAGGCACACAAAATCCAAAATGAAAGTCATTATTTTTTATAAATGTAAACAATATACTTGTATGTGAATGTATTAAATAAGTATTCTTTACATGCATATAAATACGTACAAACTCAATTCTTCACTTTCACCCTCTCATATGAAAGCTATTCTGCCTGTGATTTTGAATTTGTTCTTTACTCAGATGAAATCAGCTACTGTAATTTGTATTTCATAATTTAAATATAAATTCTTTTCCACCCCTTGCCACTGATAGGTGGATTAATATTATAATCCCCTGGCAAATAGACATAAAATTGGTACATGGTCAACTTAAGAACTAAGCCTCTTCTTTAAAAACTCATGTAATAATTTTTGAAATTATTATATATTCTATTTTAAAAATTGATCTTATAGAATTGCTTCTGTAGAGATGTTACATCCAATCTATATGTCACAACCTGTCACCATTTGTAGTCTCTGATTCGAGTGCCATCTTCAAAGTTATCAGGATTGAATCTCTCACTCTGCGTAACGCCAGAGATCCTGACTGTGCGATTTCATTACCTGCCATGAATACATTTCCAATCAGGAGCTGCCCATGTTTTAATTTTCTGTCTATTCAGCTGAACTGCCTTCTAGCTTTGCTAAATTACTAATGACATTTCATCACAGAGATGGGTTGTCTTTTCTTTAGTTGGTAAAGAAAACTTTCTGACAACTCTGTCACCCATGAGTTTTAGGAGTTTCTTGAATGAGCAATACTGGATGATTTATTCCTCTGGAACTATGTCATGCACTTGGTAGAACTACAAGGCAAATGCAGATTTGCTGAGCTGAAATGACTATTATGCCTTAAGCACAATACTAAGTCTTCAAATGAGTACCTGTTCTTTGTTGACTGTTTCTTTCAACATAGGTATCGAATCTCAAAGGAGATAACGGTAGAGCTGATGCTCACTTTTCCCTTAAACTTGGGCACAGGATTAGTGTAACCATCTTCCATCCGCATGTGTTCAAAATGTGGTGGCTCTTAGGTTGAAAGGTCTTCCTCTCCTTCCTTCAGTTGCTGGAGTTTTCTTCAGGAACAAAAATGAATCCAGTTTGCTTTTTTAAGGTCATGACTATGTGGAATACAATGCCCCTTAGTGTAGGCACTATAAGATAAGGTTTTGCTTTGTTTTTTGTTTTTAACATGCGAGGTCTTTTGTACATGTTAGAATGTGGAAGGAAATTCATGGGGTCCTCCATGCTCAGAGTGGGATTTTTGGATCTTAAGTAGTTAGTCTATGATATCTTGTCTTATATGTATATATATATTTTTTGGGGGGGGGTGGTGAATTACATTGGTTGATTTTCAAATGTTAGGCCAATCTTGAATTCATGAGGAAAGTCTTCATGAACATAGATACATGAATTCTAAATAAAATTTCAGCATATTTATATGTGACATTACCTCATGACCAAATCAGTTCGTAGTGATCATCTTAATTGAAGGATTATTATTGATTGATATATTAGCTAATCAGTATATGACACTTTCATGATTAGCAAGATATTTAAAAACTAAGCTACTGAAACATGAACGGGAACCTCTAAAATTACTTTAAAAAGGACTTTAAAGTCATACACTACTTTGTGTTATTGTG